TTCCGATCGGAGCTGGAACGCTGGTTGCCATGACGGGACCCCTGGTCACCATCGCTCTTCTTTTTCCCAGTATTGTGCGAAGTGGTCGGTTGATGCCTACGTTTGGCCAGCAATTGATACACTCGCTCTTGCTCCAGCGCTTTTTCCTTCACAAGCATGTAAAGTGCACTCTCGTCCGATTCGCTGCTCGCGTCTACGATGCGTAGGTGTGTGTCCACAGCCTCACGCAACGCAGCAGGCTCGAGATGTTTCCTGAGAATGTTACACTTCTCCTTCTTCCCCGTCTCAGTGGAGAAGATGCTTGCCATACCGTGCTGCAATATGATCTCAACGCAGCGCATGAAGTAGCTGATCACGCGAGCTTTCACATCCCGCTCACGTAGATTCATCTTCAGTTCGTCATTGAAAATTGCATCAACATCGAGGATCGCGTCATTCATGACGTTTCCGACAATCTTGTCCAACTCTACGATAATCCGACCATCAGTGACCTCCTCCACAGTCGTGCCCCACTCAAGTCTGCACAACGTGCTGAGTAATTGCCGGTTGAACGAATTTTTCACGCTTCGTAGCGCCTTCCCCTTTTTTTCACCAGTTACACTGCAGCGCGCCTCAATTGCCTCCTCATACTCCTGTCGCTCGCGCTTCCACTTCACGAGGGCGGCGTGGGACACATCTGTCACGTACGGTGGAGAGATGGACGTTGATGATACCGGAATTGTGGCCGTCGCATTCGCGCTTGTGTCGCCACTATCCGTTGTAGCTGTTGCTCCAGCAGTCGCGGCTCCTTGACCAACTTGGTTCGAACGGCCACTGCGAGTCCTCATCGCATCTGCACGATAGATTACTAAAGTTAACTTTGTGACGTGCTCACGATTTGGGAGCTGGAACTCCCGTTAAGCCAACGTTTATTGCTTGTAGTTGCTTGGTTGCTTCAATGTCAATTGAAGAGTGAGCTATCTAATCTAGTTTAGGACGCACCCGCCTGCCATGACGGCAGCCCAGGGGATGCCGTCCTTGTAGTCCGCGCTGAAGAACAACCGGCTGTACTTTATCATCCTGTCATGCCTTCTGGAGCAGCACCTGCGAACAGCACCTAGAGATCTGCTTAACTATAGTTGAGCAGTGATCTCTCCAACGAAGTTGGCTGCGGGTTGGAGGAGCTGGTGCAAGTGATCTTGCATTACATCACAACGACCAACCTGCTTACAATAATGATGATGGCAATGCGTAACGCAGTGCAGGCCTACACATTCCCGCATAACGACAATGCGAGTGACGGAAAACCGCAGAAGGTGATGTTCACCGAGCATCAAGTGGTTCCATAACGCACAACATCATGGAAGCAGTCCAAGCAAGTTAGAGTAGCTTATACCAGAGCAGCTCACTTTGCAATTAGCAAGATACCTAAAAAAACAACTTACACGGAGCTTTGCCAGCTCCCCAGTGTGTCTTTGTCTACCTGCAGACACTATAAAGAATCCCTTATCAGTCACCTGTGAACCAGACAATGGCCAAGACTAGAGCCCAGAGCTCCACCGCACCTCCCGACGACGCGGTAGGGGCCGGAGCTTCTGTTTTTACGCCTCTTTTACCGGCGCGCATCACGAGCACTTCGCATGCTGCGCTAGTAAAGTGGCGCAAAGAGAGACGTGGGTACGAGGATACTCGAAACCGCGCAAAGGGCGAGATGGGCGATCTTGTCGTCTCAATCAAGAACACATTCGACGGCGGTTTGTTTCGGCAGTGGTGCCACCTCCGATTGAAAATTTCCATTGACGATGTCACGGACGCTCTCATACTGGAGGAAGTGGACAAGATCATTTCATCGGTTAAAACAATAGTGTACCGGATATCGAGCATGAAATGGCTGAACAACTGCGAATGGTCCTGAATGAGAGTGACGTTCACAAGCGTGTTATTCAATACTTCATGTTGTGCCACGATATCATCGACGATCATGGTTGGCGCATATTTTTTAATGGTAAGGATGGAAGAAAGCAATTGTGCCGCATTCTAATGAAGTCACTGGAGCCCAAATCTCTTCGCGAAAAGGTTGATCGCACGACCCGTTTCCAAACGCGCAAAGCTAAAGAGGACGAGGTCGTACTTCATGACTTGATCTTGGAAAAAGCGCTTGACATCGAAAAATTCTACCAAAATCAACGCCGCGCCAAGCGCAGCCGTGGTGAGCGCGAAGCCGAAAGCCCCACCCACAGCCTTCTAGCAAGAAGCTGCCAAATAAACGAGATCATCGAGCGAATTGAACAAGGCCTTCCACTAAATCGCAGGCAGAGCACCCGAAAGTCCCTCCGGCTCCATGCCCCCACTGTATCGATCTCCATTAGCCCTCAGAGTGCCCGGCAGCAGCTGAGGCGGAAAAGGCCAAGGTTCGCCGCAAGATGCAAGCAAAACGAGGCGAGGGTAGTAAACGAGAAGTCGCGCGGCTAAAACGACTTCGGAAATATCTAACGTTGGCTGAAAAGACCGTTACTTTGAATGAAGTGCTGGAACTACCGTATTGTGTGGATACCGGTACTGATAGAACGGCTATCAGCCGAAAACATGTTGACGAGCTTCTCCTTCATGACTCGTCGATTAAATTGGCCCGGCTGAGCATCCGAGTGGTGAATGTTAATGTAGCCCAGCACGAGATCATAAGCACAGCCTCTGTGCTTTTACGCGTGATGCAAAATACAGCAGCCGGACCCGTTGGACTTAACAAACCAGCTGAGTGTCTGGTTATCGAAGGTGATGAACCCGAGTTGATTCTAGGCCAAGACCCTTTAATGGTGCTCGAAATCGACATCGATCGACAGCTTGAACAGCTAGCTGAGTGCAAGGACGACGACGTGGAGGATGAGGCCGATCTCGAAGATCATCTGCCCGTCTCTATATCAGCCACCTCGAGTGGTGACAGCCAGATGGTCCTGGATGATTTAGTGCGCAAGGCACTGGAGAAAGGGTTTCCTTCTCAGCTCAAGCAGCGGCTACGCGCCATTTCGAGCAAACACCATATTTGGCTCCTATCATTAGACACAGACCCACCTGCACGTGTTGCACCCCTTAACCCAATGCCCGCTTCACGATATTCTGTATAATACAGAGTAAATGATTATCTTTATTAAACTATAGCTGCCACTTTTGCAAACTTAATGCATTGCAAGCCGTCCGCAATGGGATGTAGCGAAAACGCTGCGACCAGGTACATATAGACTGCAATCTGTCGTAGAAAAACAACAATGCACGCTGCCCGTGGTAAAATGTCATGATTTCATTGGGCAAATGTGACGTGACTTTCGTCGCATATCCTTCTACTTCGAGTATCCCGCTAAATCTGATGGGTCTGGGCAATCTGCGTTTGCGCCTAAATGACTGGCGAAGCGTGCCACTACGTCACCCGTACGCTCACCAAATTTTCGGCCAGTTCTAGACTAGCAAGAGTAGAAGAAGAAGTAGGCAAGAACTGGCCGAAAAATTGGTGAGTGTACGGGCTGCATTATCTACGCCTAGTTACTCGCTATCCTGGATATCCACGCAATCCTCATTCGCGTCGCTGCCGCCGTCGTCGCTGTCGCTCGAAATCTCGAAGTTCTTTCGCTTGCGGAAGCGAATACGCTTCTTGAGGTGAGTAGGGATGGCAGTGCCGTTGCGCCACAAATCATGCCATATTTGGCCGCATGTGAACGTGTTGCCGGTTTCCTCGTGGCGAACCTTGTTACATAGAGGTACGTAGCCTCCGAAGTTTGATGTGCACTGCTCGCAGTAGTAACTGGTTTCAAAGCTCTTTGTCTGGGGAGTTGCCAAGGCTGAGCAAACTTTGCACAAGTGCTGGCGGCGCTTGCCCTTACGCTTCTGCCCTTTACGCTGGAGGTTGCTGGCGGTTGATCCATCTCTGGGTTTTTTTCGCTTCTTGCCTTTGTATTTTTCCTCATTGTTTCGCAGTCTGTGCGGTTGCGTGTGAATAGGCTCAGAAACGAGGTCCTCGGCGTTGGTGTATGTACGCAGTGTGGCTTCGTTCGTGGCCAAAAGCTCGGTATGAAGTCGGCGCATATACTGCGCGTGTGTTGGCACTGGCAGCCCTTTTTGCTTGAGAATAATTTTATGTAAAATAAAACCGTTGACTATCGCCATGTCCACAAAACCCATGAAGAGTTGCCGATAGTACTTTTTGAAGGCCACAGTAAGCTGGATTGAATAGCGCTGAAGGCGGAGTTGATCATGGCGATCTACTCCGCCCATACCTTGGTGATAATCAACCACAAGCTGCGGGCACGGTACCGCAACACGCTCTGTCTCCCCCTTCGCTCTATGCATTACAGTCGTCGGAACTGTAGAGCATCCCGTCGCGAGGAGCGCGACAGGCTTGCTGTCCATCCAGCTCAGTGCAACGAGACCAGGATGATCACGCGCGTGCGCAATTCGATACAAGCCTCGGGGCATAGTCTTCGGTCTTTTCTTTTGCGTAAAAGCAAACGGCTTGGGCCACCTAAGCCGCTCGTTGCGGTGAGTACCGACGTAGTAGAGATCCTTGTCCAATAACTCCAGCAATAGAGCACACGACGTGTAGAAATTGTCGGCGATGATAAGCCTTTTATGGGCCTGGCCATCACGAACCGGCTGAACTTGTTCTGTATCCTCAGTAGTAACACAAACGGAGGACCGATCTTGTTCTGTATCCTCTGCAATATCATCACCAATCGGTCGGACTTGTTCTGTATCCTCCGTAGTAACGTCGACAGTATGTTGATGCTCTGAGCGGGATGGAGAATACTGACGGTCCAAGTTGCCGTCACTTGTGGTGGGGGGAATTGGTTCTTGTCGTTTGGCTGCTGTGTACGCTGCAAGCTTCCCCATTGGAGGCCTCATCGGACGTATCATACATTGTTGAGGGGGGAAAGGTACTAGACCCTCACGCAGAGTATACTTCCACAAAGGCTTGGGACCTACACCACACAGGGTTAGAGGGAGTAGTTATTACTGCTAAACACAACGTACCGATAAAGTAATCAGTGTCAGCCTTGTAGTTGTCTAGCTTTCCTTTCACGCCAGGCTTGAGATACGCATGATCGGAGAGGAGGCCTGAAGGGGGTCTTGCCCGCCAACCAGCCTTTTTTAGCGACCCCCACAGACGCTTGAACTCCTTCCTGTCGATCGTTTCCGGCATTTTTGGCTGAGTGGTGGAGGTTTTGGGCAGAGAGGAGCTAAAGGGCTTGCATTAGAATTTTCAAACCTCTAGGCCGTTTATATCGGATTTTCTATGTGTTTCGAATAATACCTTTCTATCTCCCCCTCGCCGATCGGTAATGATAAGAACTCCCATGGTGGTCTATACAAACTTATATATGCGGTGTAGTAGCCTGAACGACGCCGCGTCCAAGCTGTTGATTCAATTAAACCTGCATCATGTCATATTACGTATTATACAGATTACGGCGTTCATTGGGTTAAACTAAGGTTGAAGGAGGGTGCCCGTGCGGTGATGTGCAAGCCCTGGTAATACCCACCTGCTGTGAGGAAGCTCTTGCGAGGGTTTAACGCCATGTTGGTTGAGCTCGGCTGGGACTACGAGAGCCCGCAGAGCCACTGGGCTAGTCCAGTACTTCATGTTCGCAAGCCTGGCGTAAGGGCTAAATGAATACCGCCAAACGTGCGACTATCGTCTGGCTTATGACCTCATTGAGACGTTCATCAGTACCATGTCGCATATGGCTACTCTACTGGAGCATACCAAAGGTAAAAAAAACCTTTGGACTGTTCGATATCCTCAAAGGATGTTGGCAGCTCCCACTAAATGAGCTCAGCCTAGAGCTAATGTCATACATTACTGATACCAAAATATACACTCCTCGTCGAGTACCACAAGGGTGCTGCGATGCTGCTGCTCATTTTCAGCAGACGATGGAGAAATGTTTTCAGTCGATTTTGTATGGCTCTCGCATTATCTGGATTGATGACCTCCTACTTTTTGCCGACGGCATTGACACATACCAAGTCAAACTAAAGGAGTTTTATATTTGGTCGCGTCATTCGGGCTTAAACTCAGCGTGAAGAAGCGTAGTCTTTACCAGAGATCGGTGAAATGGTGTGTCGGATCATCAATAGTGACGGTATCCCAACTCGCATCTATGTCTTGATCGATGCCCTATCCTAACACCGCTGGTCAGCTACAGCAGTTCCTTTGTGCTTGGATGCGTGAATCGATCGTTGACTACGTTCGCGCTGCGAAACCGCTCCAGTTGCAGTTAGGCGCAGCTTTGAAAAAGACAAAGCGCACAAAGCGTGTAGCCGCAGGCATTTCTATTGAGCTTACTAAGGAAGAAAAGAAGGCGTATGACCATGTCAAAACTTTGTTTGCTACATCAGCCACGCTAGCACTACCAGATGATACCGCTACGACTTGCGTATTCTCGGATGCTTCAGATACCGGGTTATCAGTACTTGTCACGCAGGTGACGGACTTTGATCCTAAACAAGCAATCACAGAACAAGCTCCCAAACGTTTGACATGCGTGAGTGGCACATTTTGCAGGTCTCAGCTCAACTGGACTGTGATCGAGAAAGAGGCCTACCCTATCGTGCTGGCGAGCGATAAGCTCGATTATCCGTTATTGCGGGCACGACCTTTTCGGCAATTCTGTGACCACAGAAATCTCATCCACGTTTTCGCCCCACACACTAGCATCACGAAACATATCAGAGGGAAACTTCTACGCTGGGATTTTAAACTCATGGCCTATCGATACATATTCGACCTTGTGGATGGAATTTTGGATGTGTGGGCGGATATGTTCCTGGTCAGCCAGCTACAGCAGTGAAGGTGAAACGTTACAGCAGGAACCGAGCAAGATCGTCGTCGAAAAGCCCAAGTCTGGTAACGCGGTGGTCCTGCGACCTCTGGACAAGGATGGTTTTGGCTGGCCGTCGTTGAGGAAATTGTAATAGCTCAACGGAAGTGCTTAGCCCTATCAACTTTAACGCAGGATGAGGACGGGATGCTACGAGTCGACCAGCGGATTCCGGGTAACAAACCTATCGTCACGTGGCAAGGACCATACAAAGTGGTCGGAACCGACTCATACTCCTGTCAAATTCGCCATTTAGTGACAGGAGATGAGCTAGATGTCCATGCATCCAGACTAAAGTTCCACTCAGATATTAGTCTCGACCTAACCGAGGACGAGCATGTAACTTCTTAGGCCGCTAATGAGCTGAAAAGCATCGTTGGAACCCCATCATAATGGACTACGAGGTTCGTGTGAGTTGAAAAGGCTTAAAAGCTGTTGAAGATTCGTGGGAGCTGCTTACATCTCTTGCTCGAGACGTGCGGGTGCTTTTAGAACAATTCCTGCAAAAGCAGGCCAGTCAAATTTCACAAATTTCAATAAAACACCGTGTGCTGTTTTAGTTCAATTCATAATAGAGCATTTATATTTGGCACTATTAAGTAGATGCACAAAGTGTCTGGCGATAGTCAGCATTTGGATTGCTTTGTAGCCGTATTGCTTCATAAATATTGTTAAAGATCAACTTCAACGCGTTACCTTACAGAAAGGAAGCGACTAGTGACAGGTCGGTACAAAGCCGTGCTCTTGCACTAGTCGCCAACCGCTGACGTGACACGTCCTACTGATAATGAATGCCATGTGCTGTTCCAGGCTTGGGAATGTTGATTTTCATTAACTTGAGCTGGACAAGGCTTGAGGGGGGGGGGGGGGCAGGGATATGCCAGCCACCTCCAACTAGCAGCAGCAGCAACAATGAGCAGGCTAACTGTTCATAACGACCAACCTGCTTACAATAATGATGATGGCAATGCATAACGCAGTGCAGGCTTACACATTCCGACATAACGACAATGTTAGTGACGAAATTACGCAGAAGGTGATGTTCACCGAACATCAAGTGGTTTCATAACGCACAACAACATGGAAGCAGTCCAAGCAAGTTAGAGTAGCTTTGACCAGAACAGCTCACTTTGCAATTAGCAATACACCTTACCTGGAGCTTTGCCAGCCCCCCCCCCCGCGTGTCTTTGTCGACCTGCAGACACTATAAAGATGGTTGATCGCAGTGATGGGTAATAATACACGGGGGTGCATTTTAAAAAGACAACACTATGCAATTTTTATTGGAGTAAGCGCAGTAGAAACTGCAATGCTCACCGGGTTTGTTTAATGATTGCAGCATCTTAGTTACCATGCCTGACATGCTTTACAGCCAGCAACTTCTCGAAGTTGACATGGGCTAAGCGCTGTCGGATCGAGCGCAGACACTCCACGACGGACCGAGGGCGGTTAGAGGTAGGTTGAACAGGTAGCCGCTTTGGTGTGAGGCGCTTCAGTTCTATTAGTAATTGCATTACCGTGCCTTTCAGCAGTATGAATTGCAGTGTATTGCAAATGCTTACAGTATGGTAGGATCGATCAATGCCAATTCTTGCAATACATTTTTACCCATCACTGGTTGATCGTATGCATGCGAAGTTGTCACTTACAGTATACACCGCAGACTCAAGCCTGATTCCAGCGTGTATATTTACTTTTAAGCTTCGCTTTAAAGAACAGCTGCGCTGCAGCTAACGCTGCCACCAGAAAGGGTGATAAAAACGTATTTCGTGATTCTCGTTAGACATCCATTATTTATATTGCTCCAACACTATTTAGCTACCGTATGCAAACATATATACTGTAGTAGGGCACATCCATCGTGTCCTCGGTGCTTCAGCTTCTCGCTTAGTCCAACTTGCCAACGCCAAAGTTGCCCGTGGTCTTCTTCCACTCATTAGCCAAGTTGATCGTTTTGACGGCCAGCTTTCTAGATTTAGATCCAGCGCTTGGCTTCTGATACGGCAGCGAGCCACCCCATTGCTGCTGCTGCTGAACCTGCTGCTGGTCCGAGCCACTGGTAACGAAAGACTCCTCTTTGGCCGATTCACCCGTCTGGGAAGATTGCTGCTGCTGCTGCTGTTGCTGCTGAGAGCCGCTCGTAGTATCAGTGATATCCGGCTTGTAGCTCACAAGAGTAGAGACACCCTTGATTGTCTTGAGAGCGTTTCCGCCATTACGAGACTGGAAGCTGCCGCTGCCGACGAGTGTGTTAGCCGCGCACGAACGACCCAAGTACTTGGAGCATTCGTCACTGCTGCTCGCAGCGTATAGAGACCCATCCGTTCCAACGTATAAAGGCTGCTTGGTGTTTTCGAAGTAGTTGCCTTCAGCGAGCACATACCCGTTGACACCGAGCTCGAACGAGTGGCCCGTGCTGTTGCCCCAGTAGTTGTTGGCCACATGGACGACGACCTTTTCATTCGGGTTGCCACCAATTTTCGGGGAGCGGCCGGAAGTGCCGTGCACGTAGTTGTTAAGCATGCTGACGCCGGTGTTCTTGCCGTAGAACAAGAAGGTCCAGTAGTGGTGTCCGTCGCACGTCGCAGAGTATTCCGTGTTTCCGTCGAAGTCCGAATTACTGATGGTCATCGTGGCAGCACCAGCCTTGTTCGTGACGATCATTTGGCGACCGATGCGGGATATCTTGATGTGATCGAGCCAAATCTTGTTGAGCGCTGTTTTGGCTTGCTTCCCCTGCATGAAGATTGCGTCTCCACCCCAGACCACATGCGGGTTTAACTCCGTAATGTGGATGTTCTGCAAGATAATATTGTCGCCGTCCAGCATCAGACCCTTGCCCTTAATGACACCGCTCTTGCCAATGCCACGGATGGTTTTGTTGCCCGTCACGGTCATTCGTTTGCGAGCGGCATTGTCGTAGGTCAGCTTGATCTGGGTTCCGCCGGTGCAACCTCCAGTGTTGGCCATGCTTCCACCGGTGATGATCACATCCTGGCTCTTGTAGCCGTTCTTCTTGGCCATGCACTCGCGTGTGTAGTCCGGTCGGCATCCGGTTTCGGTAGTTGTCCCCTCAGTGCCCCGAAAGTCAAAGGTCTTGTTTAACACAATCACGAGAGCGTCGTTTGAGGCGAGGTAGCTTACCAGCTCATTGTTTGAGGCTGGATACACGGTCTTTCCGCCTGCTCCACCAGTGGTGCCGGCAGCAAGGCCAGAGGGCGAACCAATGGTGAAGGCATTGGAACTACTGGCGGCAAGAGCAAGCATAGCAGAGAGAGCGAACTGGAAACGAGCCATTGCGAAGAATCTGTCAGACGATGGTTGTGAGCTGGGCGAGGCAATTTTGACAATGAAGGCTTGACGGGAGTTTCCCGTTGGGACTGTTTATTGTCGGTAGCGCATTGGAGATAGCGTTTGCATTTTACGATGATCCCTCGTTTCCTCTTTGTTTCCTTATTTTTAAGGTAAAAGGTCGACCTTAAAAATGAGGAAACAAGAGGAAACGACACTAAATTATGAAAAAAATTCGATTTTTTTTTCTCTCCTAGCACCCTTCAGGCATTGTATCTTGACTACTTTAGACGCTCATATAGCTTTGCAGCGACCAGCTCGCTAAACAGCGGTGAACAACGTCAAGAAATTGCTCATGTTTCAGTGCTTCCTCAGAATTAAGAACTGGAATGATGAGAGATAAGTGTCACCCGTACAGTGATTAGTGGCGTGCTCAAGTGAAGGCAAATAAAAGATTACTTTATATTTCATCAGGCCCCTGCGGGTAAGATCTGACTTAGGTACATGTATTCTGCAACTAAAATATTAATGTTCTTAAAAAAGCAAAGTGCCGGTATTTAGAAATGGAGTGTTTACCCACCATTCGACCTTTTCGATCTCTACTTTATCTGGAGATGGGCACCATCCGAAATCTCAGATCCAACTTCAACATAATGCTCGACTAGTTTATCGGTTTTCATGGCATCTCGTACTTAGAGGAACCAGGCGCCGTTTCTGTTATTGCTGATCGCCGTATGTGGCTTGTGGTCAAGCTACAAATCCTACGTTGCTAAAAATCCGTCACAATGCGACTTGCATTGCATTGCGAGATGTACATGTCCCGTGTGTACTAAGTATCGGTACGTTAGGTGCCGTCGATTGTTCCGTTCGCTTCAAGGGACGTAGCATTAGTGCCCGCGAAAGAATGTCCTAGACGCCGTATACACCGCTTCTGGTACAGAACGTTGCTGCGAAAACGATTTAATCTATTTGACAACAATACATGTAGCCGATCCGCATTAATAATTCGACCATCGATGAACAAAAAACGTTTTAGCTTTGAATACTTCAAAGTGTGACTGTACCCCATGCAACGGTAGATACGGGTCAGTGATGTATTAATCATGTGGTAGCAAAGGTGTCTATTAACACTGTAGATTGCTTTCCATAAATGTACAGTACATTTATACTGTAGTGTCGTCGAATCACTTACCATCTTGGAAGATGCAGTCTGCCCGAAATCGGCAGTACTCGACATCTCGACTAGGCGATGTTGGCCATTCTCTCGGTCATTAGTCGAGCACGCCATTACTACTTCTTAAGAGGACATGGCATTTTCACTGATTGGCCTCGAAATGTACTTCGTGCATACGAAGTACAAAGAGTACCAAAGTCGCTTCAAAAGCTCAATCGACGGGCAACGGAGATACCTTAGCTCTGAAGCGTATAACAGTACTGGTAATAAAAGTATCGCGACCAGCTAAGGTGGAGTTGAGCCAGCTGGGGGCATTTTGCTGCTTCTTTTTATACGGAGGAGTTCAGCTAAGCAGTATTTAAGCTCTTACGGGGGCAGATGTTGTGCGATGTTGTAAGCTGACACGCTGGTTCTTGAAGAGCAGCCGATCAAACAATATCCACGCCTAGGGCTGGAAAACAACGCGAGGATGGATGGTGAATTTTGATTAGACAACAGACTTTAATACAAAATGAAAAACGAAAAAAACGAACGGATGGATGGTAAATAACGCATTAGCCGTGATACCTTCTGCTGTCGCTGTTTTTGTGCAGTACTTCTGGAGATTGCCCTCCAATGGGGCTAAATGAGCAACCAAATGCAGCTCAAAGACTATAAAAGGAAGATAAGGTCAGCACTTGCAGACCGCGTACTGTCGGGCTTACGAGCACGGCACTCGTTAAATTGTTGACGCGCATGCTAGCCCGCGTTTAGTAGCATACAGAAAAGCTGAAACATCAACGAGCACATGTAGGTACAGATAACATCAGTTCTCAGCTGACGTGGAGACGCTGGATCGCGGTGGGTGGACGGTCAACTTGACCTGTACGGTACAATCGCTGCCACACACGAATTAATCAGCCGCTAAAGAGGAACCAACTCTAAGATTTGACAACTGATTAATCTGGGTGTTGACAACCGAACAAGAGTCAACGCAAGACGCGAACGCTCTTCCTCCCACACTGCACCAACCGACAATTACACCCATAAGGGACCGCAACTGTTTGTCAAGCGTTCATTTTCAAAATCGCCTTGTCAAGCGCACCAAACCCAGTACAGTTCCGGTTTCTTCGCCATGGCTCGATTCCAGTTTACACTCGCCGCGATGCTAGCTCTTGCTGCCAACCGTGCAAGCGCCTTCACCATCGGTTCCCCCTCTGGTCTAGCTGCCGGCACTACAGGTGGAGCGGGCGGTGAGACCGTGTACCCGACCTCTCCCAGTGAGCTGGTGGCGTACCTGAATGACACTGAGCCGCTGGTCATTGTCCTTAACCAAACGATCGACTTTCGCGGTACTGAGGGTACGACCACCGAAATGGGCTGTCGACCAGGCCACAAACGCGCATGCTTGGCCAAGAACAACGGTTTCAACGACCAGGATGTCATTCTGGGCCCCGGTGGCTTGAACAACACGGGCGGCTGCACGAACGGTACGGAGATTGAGGTGACGTACGACAACGCTGCCATTAAGCGTATGAGCGTCAAGGGTAACAAGACCATCCGTGGTATTGGCAAGAGCGGTGTCATTATGGGCAAGGGTCTGACGCTAAACGGGGACAACATTATCGTGCAGAACATCCACATTACAGAGCTGAACCCGCACGTCGTGTGGGGGCGGTGACGCTCTCTTCATGCAGGGCTCGAACAAGGCAACCACGACGCTGAACAAGATCTGGATCGACCACGTCAAGGTGTCTCACGTCGGCCGTCAAATGGTCGTCACGAACAAGGCTGGTGTTGCCACCTTGACGATCAGTAATTCGGACTTTGACGGAAACACGGAATACTCTGCGACGTGTGACGGACACCACTACTGGACCTTCTTGTTCTACGGCAAGAACACCGGCGTCAGTATGCTTAACAACTATGTGCACGGCACCTCGGGTCGCTCTCCTAAGGTTGGCGGCAACCCGAACGAGCACGTCGTTGTCCACGTGGCTAACAACCAATGGGGCAACAACTCTGGCCACTCGTTCGAGCTCGGTGTTAACGCATACGTGCTCGCTGAGGGCAACTACTTCGACAACACCAAGCAGCCTCTCGACAAGGGCGAGGACGGACTCCTGTACGCTGTGGATGATGCTGACGTGTGCTCCAAATACCTGGGTCGTCAGTGTGCGGCAAACGTTCTGGTGGGCAGCGGCAACTTCACATCTCGCAACGGCCCTGCCGCTCTTGAAGGTGTCAAGGATCTCCCTGCCATTACTGGCTACTCTTCGGATTCCACTCAGACCAGCGGCTCGCAGCAGCAGCAGCAGCAGCAGGCTCATCAGTCGAGTGACTCGGAGCAGGAGCAGACGCAGCAGTACACGCCAGGCACTGCCGCACCATCTGGCGAGGTGACTCAATCATCGATCCACTTGGCCAAGGTGTGGGCCGAGACCACCGATAACTTCGGCGTCGGCAAGCTCAACTAAGCATTGACGTGTAGTGCTGTGTAAACCATTCGTAGACTTCAAATTTAATGTTGAGGGCCCAATGAAGCCCATTTTAAAAACCAGTGTGCGTACGTTTTGAATTCAGTGTCATGTCAAAAACCGCTGCGTTAGCAGTGTTGTTTTCGTCAGAAATTGTCTGTCGTTTAATCTACTACTCTGTTCCATCTCAAATCTAACGCAACGAGCGACCGCACAAAAATAAATGATATCATTGGCTATTATTAGGCTAAGAATAGAGGTTTGCTATTTTTTTAATTTGTGGCTACCAGCTTACATAATACGTATCAGCTGTGCAGATAAGCATGATGTGCTGCCCGTCTGATCGCTCTAACGGCAGGCACAACCAAATTTGATGTTGTCAACATCGCTATCAAATACCAGCCAGCTAAGTCGCCCGATATGAACGTACTCGACTTGGGTCTAATTAACTTGCTACAGTCGGCTCAATACCGCACACCAACGTACAAGATCGATGCTTTAATTGCGGAAGCTGAAAAAACTTACTGTGATCTTTCTAGTAGGACTATAGATAAGTGCTTTTTGACAGCACAAAAAATACCAGAATCTGTCATTGCGTGTGATACATACAAACTCCTCCGAGTTTCGAAGCACCACATTCGCAACGGAGTGCTTCCAACCTCATTGCCTTGCGACCCTTTGGCAAAAAGGGCCAGGAGACACTTAATAAAATGAAGGGCCACCAACTTAAAATTAGTACATGTATCTTTTCTTTTATGATGAACTCTTTTCTACACACCTTGTTTTATT